TCACTATTATCATGAAATAACCACTTGGGCTTCATTCAGGTTTGAATCTACAGCCACATGACAGCAGGGCCTTTCATGTTCACAAATGTAGCCCTGACCATCAGGACAGAATGGTGAGTTTACCTGGTAAACCGGTGCTGTACATTCTTGATAAAGACATGTTGAGTGATGGAAGAATGGATGGAAGGGTGGGTGGAGGGATAAATGAATCAATGGGTGGATAGATGGATGACAGGTGGATGGATAGATGGATGAGTGGGTAGGTGAGTGGATGGGGGGTGGGTGGGTGGATAGATGGAAGGATAGATAAGTGGATGTTGGGTGGGTAGATGGGTGGGTGCATGAACGATTGAGTGGGTGAGTGGATGGATGGATGGATGAGTGGGTGGTTAGGTAAATGAGTGACAGATAAGTGGATGGTGGGTGGGTGGATGGATGGATGGTGGGTGGAAGAATGATGGATAAATGGAAAATTAGGTGGACAGATGATGAGAGAGATGCATGGAAACCATCAGCCATGTTTTCCAGTCCTCCAGATGAAAGCATGGGGCCCTAAGTGTGGGCAGTTTCCAGTTCCAGCAGGAGGCCACCTTTGCCACGGGCCCCTCTTGGGCCCGCACCTCCCCACCTGCCATCAGACAACAGGGCTCCTACCCAATGGCTCAATCCTTGTCCCCATTTTGTTCCCCTATATGTCACCCCTGCACTTTTATCTTTATTTTTCACCCAAGAAACGCTCAGTGCCCACTTTTGTGCAAGAAAAGAGTGGTTTCCTGTCTTACCCGGATATTCTTTGTGGAATTTGTGTCTTAGGATTCGTCCATCTGGAAAACAAGGGAGAACTTCCATCAGGGGGTGATAAGGCCGCCGCTGTCTCCATAACGCTAAGGAGCTGTGTGCGGTGTTCACACTCATTCTCTCACGAGTGTCCAAGGGAACTTTCCGGAGGCCACACGACGTGTGACAGCAGCCAACCGAATGCAAAGCAGCCAGTGGGATCACTCAATTCTCATGTTAGGCAGAATTGCAAAAAAACCACAAAGTGACACCACCCCTCTCACTTTTTTGTATTTGGAAAATAGTTATTTTTAAGAAAATTGCTTTCTGTTTAAGATATAGTGAGTTTATAATAGTTATAGTTAAGTGGAGGACTACATAAGCATTTTCAATGCCTCGGCTTTGGTTTCTACGGTGACAAATACCCACATACGGGAAGGTTTGATGGCGTCTCCTCCACGTCTTTGGACAGTAAAGGGGTTCTGAGAACAAAACTTTGGGTACCCCCTGTCTCAGCAGATGAGCTAGAAGCAACACGGTGCTCTATAAATGTTATTACAAAATATTTTCACACCGGGAGTAAGTGGGACTCTTTCACTCTGTTCAAAGGGGGCTCAAACGTCACCCCAGCAGATAAAAAAGTGATGGAACAGGAATAGCCACTTATCCCTTCTGAGCCTCAGTTTCCTCACCTGAAAATGGGCATAAAATTAGTACCTCTTAACGTGATTGTGAGTATTAAACATAATCTCATTTAAAACACTTATGTACGATTTTAGAAGGAGCCACATGAAGCTGCTATTTTTGTGTGTGAATTGCCACCTGCTGGCAACGTCATACATGTCAAATGACTCACGTGAGTCCCCACTTCGTGCTCCCGGTGTTGTTTGTCACTCACCCATCTCTTCCTCCGCCCCCACTCTACGGAAACAGGACAACATTTGTGGATGGGGATGTGGCCACACAGATATGCCCCGAAGCAATCTCTCCCCAATTTAGCTGACTTCTCCCTCTCTATGATAGGAGTTGTCTTCTCCGCTGTCACCTTCATCAATCACATTGACACAGTAGCCTGGCGCTGTGTTTTTCTGCTGTTTTGTGACCATCCTGAAAACCACCAGGGTGTTTGGGACCAGCACTGACATGTATTGTGCAAGGTGACCACACCCTGCGGCGTCACTCCACACCTTCAGGTGGGCACTCGGCAACAACTGCAGAGATAACTTTTGTGTTTTCCAGAGCAAACGGCCAGGGTTTTTGCAGGCCAGGGGGCTCTAAAACATTCCTGTCCCCCCCACCACCTGGGGAAGAATTATGGCCCATAATGCCACAAGGAGACAGGGGTCTGTGCGGACAATGAACACCCTTCTCAGGTCCAACATAACTTACTCCCAAAAGTGATTACATGTTGCATTGATCAAACAAACTTCCTCCCACTCAAGGCTGCATGAGCCCCTGTTTTTCTTTTTGGGCAGCAGCCCAGCCAGGACAAGGATGGGTGGCTCTCTCCCCTACTCATCTTCAGGATGACCTCAAACACACTCAGAAAAATGCACCAATTCCCTCCAACCCTCCTCTCTGAAAAAACCAGCTTTCCTGTGTGTGTTTCTCACTGAAGACACAGACTGCTCAGATGTCTGGTTCCAGCTGCCAGACTGTCAGACTTGGCCATCTCGCCCTCCAGAAGCCTCCCTCAGGGAAGAGAGAGGTCTGGCCACGAGGTCTGCTATTTATTCCCAAACGGTCCAGAAAAGTACATATGTACATTTGTACGGGGCAGGGTAAGGCGAGAGAGAGTAATAAAGCAAATGTGATAACGTTTTAACAATCGGTGAATCCGGGTGGAGGGTCCAGGGAACTGTTCTTGCAACTTTTTTGTTACTCTGAAAGTATTTCACATACGCAGTTAAAAAAATAAAACTTCGATAAAAGCCTTCTTCCTTGGTAAGGCTGGGACAAGAGGAGCCATTCCTCCTCTGAAATTTTTGCTCCAAGGGAAGTTGCTAGAATTCAAGATGTTTCCAAGGCTACGGATAATTAGCAATAAATTACCAATAATTATTGCTAAGTGACAGCCTCTGAGGACCAGGCTAGGGTGAATTCCACTTGCTTTCCACTGAGAAGGGTCCAGTCACTCCTGTGGGAGGGGAGCTCTCACTCACACATACACTTATACACACAAATACACAGCCACTCACACACCCACACACACACTTATACACATCACACACACACACACTCACACTATAGATACTCATACACACATATAGACTTATGTATACATACACAGACACACACACTTAAATGCTCACACAAACACACACATCACACACACGGCTCTGAGCCTGTGGCCAGACCTGCAATTCCAGCTCTGCTCCTTGTTAAGCCCCATGCACGGTCTGGGCAAGATCCTGAACTCAAGTCCTCTCTTCCTGAGACAGAGGACCGTGGTGCACGTCCACTGAGGACCTGCCAAGCATCACCGCATTTCACAGGAGGCCTCGCAACTACCCCATGATGCAGAGTGAGTACAGTTACCATCACCACCTCCATTCTACAGGTGAGGAAACTGAAGCTAAGAAAGGCAAGGTGACCTGTGCAAGGCCCCCCAGGGAGCCAGCTGCAGGCTTGGAACCTGTGTCTGTGCTTAAACCTACACAGAGCTGCCCCAGCTCTACCTCTGCTGTCTTCGGCTTGCAACAGAGTGCTCACGGGGTACCGGTAGTAGTCGTCCCCGTCAGCACGGCCATCGTTCAGTGATTGCTTTGTTCAGCTCCATTCTTGAAATGGGTCTTTTCTGAACTGGCTCAGACCTTCAAGAACTGCTTTGAACTTGTTTGGCTCGCCCTGGCATTTGAGGTCATGTAACTAAATGAAAGTGCAGGGGATGAGAAAAAAGCGAAGCAGGTGGCAGCCTTTCCGATGCTATGAGTGACAGCGTAGTCCAGAGATCCTAACTCACGCCATGGCTCTGTTTTGGAAAAGTCTGTCCCTTCCACCTTCCAGCGGGCTCTGGCAGGCTGGCCCCACCCCCCACCTATGGCAGGTTTGGGTGTCTAGACGCATGCAGTGATGAAGCAGCAAAGATTCTGTTCTGCACTTGTGAAATGACAGACATGGTCCACATGGATTAACTTCTTTACTCCTTAAAGAGCCTGCAAAGTAGCTCAATTATTATCAGCTAGAGAGTCGTGGAAAGGTTAGAGGTTATTTGCCCACACAGCCCTGGGGAGCCCACCCCAAAGTGCAAATAGCAAGTGGAACAGAGAAGAAGTCACAAAGGCATCTACTGGGTTCATATTGTTGTATAGACCATTTTTTTAAAGTTCAAGATTCTTGGCTGGGCACTGTGGCTCATGTCTGTAATCCCAGCACTCTGGGAGACCCAGCTGGGCAGATCCCTGGAACTCAGGAGTTTGAGACCAGCCTGAGCAAGAGCAAGACTCTGTTTCTACCAGAAATAGAAAAACTAGCCAGGCATTATG